CCAGAAGGGGATCGGGGAGCGAGGAGAGTGGGGAGTGGGGTTTCGTCACCGATCGGGACGGGGAGAGGGAGTGGGGCGAGTAGGGGGGTTAGGTTTACGGGGGTGGGGAGTTAGTAGGGAAGGTGGACCGGGGTGGACCGGCCCGTTCGAGCGGCTGAGGCCAGCTGGGCCCCTTGGCCCAGTGGGGGGGTCCTGCTTTCTTTTCTCTTTTTTTTTTGGTTTGCTCGTTTTCCTTTTCTTTCTTTTTTCAATTTCTTTTCTGTTTATTTTTACCTTTGTTTTATAAATTATAAATCTAGCCCCTAAATTAGTACTAATACTTATGACACTACCACAATTGATTTGGCACCCTAAACAATTAGTTTATATTTGTTTAGTATTTAAAAGACATTTAAATATTAGTTTTACTGCAGTTTTTATTAATTTAGTGCTTTTAACTACTTTATAAAAAGATGTTTTCTCTACCATAATTACCTACGCATTATTTGTCACCTCCCGAACATTTTAGTTTTAAAGTTTGAAAACTTTTGATGTTTGCCTTGGTTTTAAATTCGAAGTTCGAACTAGGTTTCTAACCGACGCGAGTTTATCAACAGTAACCAAGGTGATGTGGCATCATTAGTAGAGGTTCACTGTAGCTTAATTATCCGGGCGTCACATACAATAGCACTTCATCAATCAAACATCTTTGAGCCAGGTATAGACAAGGGGCCAAATTTATCTGGTTTTGAATGTTATAGTGTCAGCTTTGTCTCATTTTATTATGGACCATCAGAAAATAATGCTTTCCTTTATTGAGCTGGACAAAAGATTTCATGGGAGAAAAACACCTTCATATATACAGTACCCTTTACAAAATTAACTAGTATAAGAATTTTGCCATACATACACCTCAAAAAGAAAAATCAACAAAGGATAGTTGCTCACTGCAAAACATATCTCTGCTCAAGTCTCAAATTTTCGTTCAGTTCCTCATATAGACAGGGCACAATGAACATGTTACTACATTCTTAATGATAACGAACTAGCATGCTCTAACAGAGCTAAAATACTCGTCAATGTCATCACGGCATTCCAGAAAAGTGTCTCTGATAGCAGTAAGTTTTGCACAAACATCTTTCATTCCAGGCTTGTCCTTCGGAGCTTCAACGGTACACGACAGTCCAAGGGCAACCAACGGGACAATATATCTCTGCATCCATACTTCTGCGGACCCTTGATACTCCTCATGTGCCATATGAGGATCTAGAGTCTCCGCAACTCTATCAGGAAACATGGATTCAGAAAAAATGGGAAGGGTAAGTCCACCAACAAACATAAGCAACTCCAGCAGAAGCACTCCAAAACTATATGCATCAGCTCCTACGGAGATCTCGTACCCCATCCCGTACTCTGCGTAGAAGCAATGCTTTATAATAATGCACATACGTACCAGACAAAGTATAATTAAGTGGAAATGGAAAATGCAAAACTTACCGGGTGCCATGTACCCAACTATTCCTCCAACATCATCCAGGCTTTCAGGAATAAACATGTCCGGCGACAAAAACTTTGCTGAGCCAAAATCACTGAGCTGCGCGGTGATGTTATCGTCCAAAAGGATGTTCTCTGGTTTCAAATCACAATGGATCAAAGGAGGCGTTAGTTGGTTGTGGACATAATCAAGCACATAAGCCACATCTGCCGCTATGTATATCCTCTTGCCAAAGTTTAGCACTCTGCCTAGGATCCCATTGTGTTGCTCAGAGTGTAACCATCTGTCATGGCTGCCATTAACCATGAACTTGAATATCAGCGCTTTGAACTCATGATTTTGTGAATCAAGTGTCGAGCATACAGTCACAGGACACATTATATTTCTATGGCGGGTGTTTCGTAGCACTTCACACTCAATAAAGTCAGCTTCACTCAAGTTGAATACTTTGATGGCAGCCAATCTCCTGTCGGACTTAAACCTACCAAAATAAACTGATCCAGTACAGGTTGAGCTGATAGTATGAAGCGAAGAAAACCAGTTGGTAGCTTTAAGAATGTCCTGATATGACACCCTCTTCAGCTTCTTCTCATCGTTGAACGAAACTGTATGCATTTCTCTTCTCTTCTTATGGGAAAAAAAACGAAACATCTTCTTGGACACAACAGCCAATTGTAAAAATGTGAATACCGCTCTCTTCCAAAGAGTTGGTAGAAACCATAGCAAGACTAGGGAAGCAATAGTAAGTGGTGGTAGTACAATTAGCAGCAAGGTTGCCAGCGAGGACATATGATGCTTTGTTTTATTTGCTGAAGCTGAGATGCCAGGACAAATTGGTAATGCCAGCCTGGAGGAATTTGAACAGAGTCCCTTGTTATCATCCAAAAGTACTGCGGTAGAATTCTCAAAGATCCCACTTGTAGGAACAGCCCCTTCCAAGTTGTTGTAAGATAGATCAAGTTGCTCCAGCATATGAAGGTGCTGAAAGAATTCAGGCACGGCACCGGATAAGTCATTGTGAGAAAGATTTATCTGCACGGTTGATACTAACTGCCATCTTGCTGGAATTTGTCCATGAAACTTGTTTCCTTCCATGTGAAGGGATGTTGGACCAGCACCAGCACCAACTGTACCAAGTTCCAGTGGCAGTTCCCCATTGAGATTGTTGTGTGAGAAGTCCAGACCGAGGGAGAATGGAGGGTTAGCAAAGAGTTCGACTGGTATTGACCCATCAAGGTTGTTTCGAGACAAATTTAGTTCAAGAAGTCCCTTGCACTGACCTAAACTACCAGGTATGTTACCAGTGAACTTGTTATCACTAAGATAAAGCTTGCCCAGTTGAGTAATATCACCAACTGAAGGAGGAATCTGACCTGATAATTTGTTCTTTGATAGATTTAGGATATATAGGTTTTGCAGCTTACCAATGATAGAAGGTATGCTTCCAGAAAGAAAATTGTTTTCCATCCTAAGTGAAGTGAGATTAACAAGATTGCTAATTTCAACAGGTATGGAGCCTGAAATTTTGTTTGACCCAAGCGACAAATCTTGTAGCATTGTGGAAAGATTAACAACTGCTACAGGTAAGCTGCCATTCAGAGCATTCCCTTCCAAGGACAACTTTGTCAGCTGGGAGCAATTTGCTAGAGATGTAAGAAATGACCAGTCGTATGCTTCTAGCAAGTTACTCCCCAAAACTAACCGACGCAAGTTTGCCAAAGAACCGAGAGATGGAATAGAGCCATGCAAGGAGTTGTTTGAAAGATCAAGCGTTTGAAGATTTGACATGTTGGCTAGTGAAGTATGGATCAGGCCCTCCAGCCTGTTGCTTCCCATAATTAGGGACTGGAGGTTTGGTAGTGGGGTGACCAATGTAAGATGGTAACTGTCCAACAAGGCCATTGCTGCCAACACTAAAGTTTTTGAGTGATGACATGTTATAAAGGGAAACCGGGACATTACCTGATAAACTGTTGAAACTTAGGTCAAGCTCAAGCAGTTTTGTAGTGTGACCTATAGTTTCTGGAATTAATCCTGATAGCTTATTTTGGCCGAGCAATAAAGAAGTGAGGGAAGAAATATTTCCTATTGAAGGAGGTATGCTTCCAGAGAGGAAGTTCTCTGTCAGGCAAAGAAATTTGAGTGCTGTGACCTTATGGAAACGTGGGATGAGACCAGTGAAAGAATTCTTCTGGAGATCAACCTTAGCTTAGGTAAGTTGTAAAACAAAGTAGAAGGGATCTCTCCAGAGAGGTTATTACATGACAGTATAAGTGTGTTGAGTGAGGAGCAATTGGTCAATGAGAGAGGGATACGGCCTGTAAGAGTGTTGTTTCCAAGATTGACATAGCTAAGAGAATTGCTAGTGCCTAAGGAATCAGGGATGTTACCTTCAAGGTTGCTGTTGGAAAGATTCAGTGTATGGAGGTTTGGAAGCTTACCCAACTCTCCAGGGATGGTTCCCGATAGATCATTATCGGCAAGGTTCATCGAGGATAGAAAAGTCAAGTTGCCTACACATCAAGATATTTGCCCACTGAGACGAGCGGAGGTGAGGTTAAGTGAGACCACCCGGGGTGGGAACTTTGAGCTGCAAATGGCCCCTTTCCAGCTACAAAAGTGAAGTGAGTCATCACTCCATGAATTTAGGATGCCAAGGGGATAAGAATTGATGCCAGACTTGAAGCAAAGGAGGGCTTGGCGATCAATCTCGGACTTGTTTTCTTGCGCTGCTTTGAGTGTTGTAGTGTTGAAGGAGAAAAGAATGAGCAAAATACAGAGCAGAGACAAAAATGAGGGCATGATATTCAGAGTTTACAGGATGTGGAAGAACCAAGAAGTTGGGAGAACTTTAGGTTGGAGCTTGGGAGATCTTGTGTGTAGAATGTGGATGCCATTCAAAGGATTTGTCTGCCGGAAGGAATGGGCCTGGAGTTATGCTAGACTATTGACTTGACTTGCTTAACAAACAATGGTGGGCCCTGGTTCCCTGAACGTGATGCAAGGGTAAAGAATAGTAGAAGAATGATACAAAGATCTGTGGAAGAAAACGTGTGCAGGGGAGCAATGGATTGTGACTAGTAGAATCGCAGTAAGCAGAATAAAAACTAGAAGAGGAAAGGTGAACTATTTTGACAGTAACACAAGGATGCTGCGAGACTAGTCCTGAAGTCGTCCAAACAGACACGATGAGCAAACCCATAGGCGACACCAAGGCAAACCAAGCTATTGACTGATGCTGGAGTCGTCAGACTTGTTGGCATCGACTCAGAACACATAAACAAGCCTGAACCACACAAAGTGATTCTGAATTGCGATTTCGTGATGCACCAACATGCTTCATAACTGAATCTGAACGGGGTAAGGCAGCATGGAACAATGGAAAAATTTGTACTAGGTAACTGCACTTGATTCAGTCACCAAGGAGAAGAAACGGGGCAAGCCAAAGACTTGTCCGTCCATCTTTGTCGTGCTGCAGGAAAATCAATTATTGGTCCACAACATTTTGCAGTCAGGATCCAGCTATCCACATCGTCGAACCTCCTCCACATGAACTACCTGATAGATTCAAAAGAGATGGCTGCCAAAATGAAATGTTCCAAACATATTCCTCTCGACATGATAATACCAGACGATTGAATTGTAGGCGTTAGGTATATACCGTAGACGAAAGGAATTGCCAGCATCACCTCTTCCCCTTCTTCTTTCTCCTCAAATCCACCCTTTCTCCTTCACTGGCTATGGCAGCCACCATGGCTGCCTTTCTCACACCATAACGCTGCCAACGAATTGTGTGCATAGATTTGTGGAAGAAAACGTGTGCAGGCCGAGTAATTAATGGATTGTGGCCAGTAGAATTGCAGTAAGCAAAATAAAAATTAGAAGAGGAGCCCACATCAAACAGACAGGATGAGCAAACCCAGAGGCGGCACGAAGGCAGACCAAGCCATTGACTGATGCTGGAGTCGTTAGAACACATAAACAAGCCTGAACCACACAAAGTGATTAGACATTTCTTCATAGAGCACACAAAGTGATTCAGAATGACAATTTCATGATGCACCAACAAGCTTCATAACTGAATCTGAATGGGGGGTAACGCAGCTTGGAACGATGAAAAATTTGCAGGTAACTGCACTTCATCCAATTTAGCACGGTAAATTGGGAATCTAGCTGCAGGACTTTACTTACGGCATACAGGGCACTTGTGTTGGCTCACTCGTCTGTCTTCCACGCCGCCGAAGCAAAGGAAATGGCTGCTGGGGTTCGACTCTACGAGGTCCGAGGCGGGCGAGAGCGAATCCGTCCAGCCGCGGGCTGCGCATCCGGAAGGAGAAACCCTAGGGGAGGCCCGCGGCGGGGACGGCAAGTGCTGGCGTTGCCACCGAGTCGCACGGACTCGGGAGGTGGCAGCCGCGTGTCGAGGCGGCGAGGAACTGCTGGAGGCCTTCGATGCCGGCGGCGGCCGGGGAGAAGGCAAGCGGGTGCAGCGGACGGCGGGGGAGTCGCCGGAGGCTCAGAGCCTCATACCGTCGTCAGGTAACGGAGTCCGAGCATCTTCGAGTTTACTGTTACCGTCACATTACGGACTAACTATTTTTTTTAAGAAACATTTGAGCAACTACCAGAGCCAGAAATGAACGCGAGTACAAAAAGATGGTCTCGGAGTAGATTACAATATTTCCAATAATTCTCACTTTTTCAAAAAAAAACATCAGATATGTTATAAAAGTTCACCGGAAGTACAAAACATCTTTATAACATAATAAAAATTACATTAAGATTCCGAGACCATCGAAGGACCACTACTGCCATCGAACAAGCTGTCGACGCGCCGTTCTCACCAGTTCCCTACGGGAGCCGGTTTGACCTTGTCGATGACAATCACAAAGTATTCGTGCAGGTGCCCCTTAAGGACCAGCGTCCTGGAGCCGTAGATGTTGCCGTTGAACCCTTGCATAGATCTGAAACACCTCACATTAAATCTCACCACATGAGGTTAAATCGTAACCTCACCGTCCCAAGGAAATGACGGGAATCTATGTCGGAGTTTCGTCGACTACGTCCAGACAGACGAACTTAAGAAAAATCAAAATCCGGAAGACAAACTCGAAAAAGAAGTGTCGCCGGCCGTCCGAGCGCCGCGCCTGCGAGGACAAGAAAACCTAACCTAAACTACTAACCCGAGAGGAGGCGCCGAGGTTCCCCTCTCTGCCATCAGCAGCCGAAATGTTAGGCAGATGGGAGGTGAATCCACAAGCTCGGCGGTGAAGCCTCGAGGCGAGAGTTTGTCCTAGCCGCTTAGGGTTAGGAGAGGAAACAAAAGAAATTGTTATTTTAAATAGTCAAATATATTTGAAACATTTCGGCAGCATGCATGGTCTAGCATAGTACTAATGTTTAAAGTTTAGAACAAAATGGGCAATGTCGTATATATTCCAAGCAAAATACAACAAAATCAATATTCCATCCATTCCACAATATAGTGCATATTTTGATTATTTGAAGTCAAACATGTTTTTTGTTTGACTAAGCATCTAAATAATAAATAAATAGAATATAAATTTACACTTTAGGATGAATCTATTGATACAAAGTTTGTATTATGAATGTTGATTATTTTTCCTTAAATTTGGTCAAACAAAGACATGTTTGACTTTTATAAACCAAAATATGCACTACATTCTGGAATGAATGGAGTACTATATAAAAGCGAAAATCCATCTCTGCATCCGAGCTCATCTTCACCCGCGTTGACGAAAAAATTCGAAACAAATACTAGAAAAATTCCAAAAACAAATTTGTGCAGTAGACAATTTGATTCATGAGGCCCGCTTCAATTTTCAAATCATTTGGACATCTGAGGAGCTCTCGACAAAAAAGAGAAATTGGGGGCCTGTAAAAAAGTGTTTACTATTCATGTACTGTTTTGGCCCGATTTGTCTTTTTTGCTGAGAGCTGCTCAAATGTCGAAATGATTTAAAATTTGGAGCAGGCCTCACGCATCAAATTTTCTACTGCACAAAACAAATTGGAATTTTTTGATTTTTTTTTAAATTTTACTCTTTTTTTCTAAGCGGGTGCAGATGAGCCTGGACACCGAAACGCCCTACTCATATAAAAGCCGCTATCCATTGTTTTTGTAGCTGTGTTTTTTTTCGCTCATAATACGACATGACTCATTTTGTCTTGAAACTTTAAATTGAGTATTATGCTAGAATATGGTTCTCGCCAAAAAGTTTCATATTTTGTTAACATCTTTCACTATTTTTTTAAAATGCTGAATCGAGACCTATGTCCCAAAAATCCACACCAAAAAAGCCATTTATTAAAACAAACTAATAATCATCATATTGACTCTGTTAACATCGAACTTCACATGAATTTTTGCTTAGTTAGAAGAGAAAACATGTTGTTTTCTCTGGTGAAGAGGTGATTTGGAGCACTGAAAATAAAAATGATAATCATTCATGCTTAGAACTTCATAAATCTCTAAGAGCATTCATGAAAAGAAATGGTCATGTCTCCTGATGCTTGATAAATGTTTCTAAGTATTCATGAAAAAGAAAACATGTTTCATGATCCGTTGTAAACGTTTCTAAACTTCCTCTTTTTTTTTTCATTTCCTGCTGTGTTCCATTCTTTCAATATTTTATGTCTATTTATTTCATGATTTCTAGAATAAATGTTCCCTTTCCAAAGCTTGTTTCCATTTTCCATACTTCCTAATTTGTTCACTATTTTTACCACCTTCTTTTGCAAGGGGCCGAAAATCTATCTGGTTTCGTAAGTTGAGTGTCAACTACTACATCGCATTTCAGACTTCAGGGACCAAAACTAATTCAGCCAATAGTTAACTGAAAAAGAAGGATTTGTGTTATTAAACTGGATGTAAGATTTGACAGAATAACAATTTGATATAATACAGTACAGTTTGCAAATTAATAAGTACATGAATTTCGCCATACATACACCTCAAGATCAAAATAAGAATAATTCAGCAAACCTGCAGCAAAGGATAGTTGGCACTTTCAGTAGCTAACCGTTGCTCACTGCAAATCATATCTGGGGGGAAAAAAATACATGTTGCATGTTTCCTGATGCTTCATAAATGTCTTCTAAGCATTCATGGAAAAAATTACATGTTGCATGATTCGTCTTATACTTTTCTCAACTTCCTTTTTACATTTCCTGTTCTTTTCCATTCTTCAAATATTTTATCTCCATTTATTTATATTTATTTCATGATTTCTAGAATAAAACGTTCCCATTCTAAAGCGTCTTTCCATTTTCCATATTTTCTATTGTTTTCACTATTTTTAGTGTTTTATACTGTATTTGTAAGGGGCCAAATCTGACTGGTTTCAAAAGTTGAGTGTCAGCTACGTCTCATTTCAGAAACTATATACAGCCAATAGTTAACCCAAAAAGAAGGATTTATGATATTAAACTGGATGTAAGATTTGACAGAAAAATACCTTGATATAAACAGTACAGTTTATGCTACTAAGGAATTTCGCCATACATACACCTTAAGATCAAAATGAAAATAATCAGCAAACCCGCAACAAAGGATTATGCCAAATTACATTCTTAACGATAACAAATCAGCATGCTCTAACAGAGCTCAAATATTAGTCAATCGTCATGATGGCGTTCCAGAAAGTCGTCTCTGAGAGAAGAAAGTTTTGCACAAACATCTTTCATTCCAGGTCTGTCCTTTGGAGATTCCACAGTACATGACAGCCCCAGAGCAACCAACGGGACAATATATCTCTGCATCCATGCTTCTACGCACCCTTGATGCTCCTCATGCGCCATATGAGGATCTAGCATCTCCGCAACTAGGCCAGGGAACATGGATTCAGAGAAAATGGGAAGGGTGAGCCCATCGATGAACATATCATCGGTTGGTCGTTTTCCGGTAAGCAACTCTAGCAGAAGCACTCCAAAACTATACACGTCAGCTCCTACAGAGATCTTGCAGCCCAGCCCGTACTCTGCAAATGCACTCAAATACTCAATAAACCATGCATACATACATGAAGGGAAAAAATGCGCTGTACACGTGAAACAGTATATATATCTACAAGATAAACTATTTAATTGGAGATTTGGAAAAGTAAACTCACCAGGTGCTATGTACCCAATAGTCCCTCCGACATCAACCAGGCTTTTACGAATAACCTGGCCTGGTAATAGAAACTTTGCTGAGCCAAAGTCACTGAGCCGTGCCGTCATGTTATCGTCCAAAAGGACATTGTGTGGCTTCAAATCACAGTGGATCAAAGGAGGCGTCAGTTGGTTGTGAACATAATCCAGAGCAGAAGCGACATCTGTTGCTATGCATATCCTCTGGCCAAAGCTTAGCACTCTGTCTGGGATTACATTGTGCTGCTCAGAGTGCAACCATCTGTCAAGGCTGCCATTAACCATGAACTTGAAGACCAGTGCTTTGAACTCATGGTTTTTTGAATCAAGTGTCGAGCATAGGGTCATAGGCCGCATTATATTCCGGTGGCGGGTGCTTCGTAGCACCTCACACTCGGTAAAGTAACTACCATATCCACCAGGCTCATTCAGGTTGAATACTTTGATAGCAACTAGGCTCCTGTCAGACTTGAACCTACCGACATAAACTGATCCGGTACAGGTTGAGCTGATAGTATGGACCGAACAAAACCAGTTGGTAGCTTTCAGAATGTCACCATATGATATCTTCTTCAGAGTCTCCTTGTGGTTAGAACATGCAACCACTTCTCTTATCTTCTGGTTGGCAACTGCTTCTCTTTTCTTCCGGTTGGCAACTAAACATAACACACCGGGAATCTTATTACACCTTGGAAATGTAAGTTGCGCCCTTCTTTTCCAAACAGTGACAACCAAACATAACAGTAACACACCAGCAATTAGCGGTGTAATTATCATTACTATTCTTAGCAAAGGCACATGGTTCTTTGTCTGGGTGTCATCACAAATTCGAAGCCCTAGCATGGAGACTCTTGCACACAACATCTTATTGCCATCCAAAACTACCATACTCGAGTTCCTAAAGCATCCACCAGAGGGAATTTGCCCTTCAAAGTTGTTGTATGATAGATCCAGCTTGTCCAACAAAGTGAAGTCGCCAAAGAAGTATGGCACTGAACCAGATAAATTATTTCGAGCTAGATTAATCTGCTGGATGGACCGCAACTTCCTGAAACTTTGAGGAATTTGCCCTTCAAGCATGTTTTTCTCCATGCGCAAGAACAATAAAGTAAGACAGCTTCCAAGAGCTTCAGGAATCGTTCCAAACAACATATTGTTGGAAACATTCAAAAGAGCAAGATTTGCCAAATTACCAACTTCTGATGGTATTTCTCCTATGAGCTTGTTGTACGAAAAGTCCACACCCAAGGAAAGTGGAGGGCGATCAAAAAGTTTGACTGGTATTGACCCATCAAGGCTGTTAGTAGACAAGTTTAGTTCAAGAAGTCCCTTGCACTGACCTAAACTATCAGGTATGTTTCCACTCAAGTTGTTATCATCAAGATAAAGCTTGCCCAGTTGAGTAATGTCACCGACTGAGGGAGGGATCTGACCTGATAATTTGTTCTTTGATAGATTTAGGACATATAGGTTTTGCAGCTTTCCAATGGTAGAAGGTATGCTTCCAGAAAGAAAATTACTTTCCATCCTAAGAGATGTGAGATTAACAAGATTGCTAATTTCAACAGGTATGGAGCCTGAAATTTGGTTTGACCCAAGCGACAAATCTTGCAGCCTCGTGGAAAGATTAACAACTGCTGCAGGTAAGCTGCCATTCAAACCATTCCCTTCCAAGGACAACTTTGTAAGCTGGGTGCAATTTGCTAGAGATGTAAGAAATGACCAGTCATGTGCTTCTAGCAAGTTGCTCCCCAAAACTAACTGACTCAAGTTTGCCAAAGAACCAAGAGATGGGACACGGCCATTTAGCGAGTTGTCTGAAAGATCAAGCATTTGAAGATTTGACATGTTGGCTAGTGAAGTAGGGATCAAGCCCTCCAGCCTGTTGCTTCCCATAATTAGGGACCGGAGGGTTGGTAGTGAGTGACCAATGTAAGATGGTAACTGTCCAACAAGGCCATTGCTGCCAACACTAAAGTTTTTGAGTGATGACATGTTATACAGGGAAACCGGGACATTACCTGATAAACTGTTGAAACTTAGGTCAAGCTCAAGCAGTTTTGTAGTGTGACCTATAGTTTCTGGAATTAATCCTGATAGCTTATTTTGGCCGAGCAATATAGAAGTGAGGGAAGAAACATTTCCTATTGAAAGAGGTATGTTTCCAGAGAGGAAGTTCTCTGTCAGGCAAAGAAATTTGAGTGCTGTGACCTTATGGAAACGTGGGATGAGACCAGTAAAAGAATTCTTCTGGAGATCAACCTTAGTAAGCTTAGATAAGTTATCAAACAAAGTAGAAGGGATCTCTCCAGAGAGGTTATTACGTGACAATATAAGTGTGTTGAGTGAGGAGCAATTGGTCAATGAGAGAGGGATGCCGCCTGTTAGAGTGTTGTTTCCAAGATTGACATAGCTAAGTGAATTGCTAGCGCCTAAGGAAATGGGGATGTTACCTTGAAGATAGCTGCCGGCAAGATTCAGTGTATGGAGGTTTGGAAGCATACCCAAGTCTTCAGGGATAGTTCCCGAAAGATTATTATAGGCAAGGTTCATCCTGGATAGAAATGTCAAGTTGCCCAGGCATCCAGATAACTTCCCACTGAGACGAGCATAGTTGAAGTTAAGAGAGACCACCCGGGGTGGAAACTTTGTGCCGCAAGTGACCCCTTTCCAGCCGCAAAAGTTAAGTGAGTTGTTGCTCCATGAGTCTAGGATACCAAGGGGATAAGAGCTGATGCCGGACTTGAAGCAGAGGAGGGCCTGGCGATCAATCTCCGACTTGTTTGCTTGTGCTGCTTCGAGTATTGTAGTCCTGACGGAGAAAAGGATGAGTAAAATATAGAGTAGAGTAAACATTGAGGGCATGATTCCAGTTTACAGGATGTGGAAGAACCAAGGAATTGGAGTGGTTTAGACTGGAGCTTGATCTTTGTGATCTTTGTGTGTAGAGGCCATTTTGAAGATTTTTTCTGCTGGAATGAATGGGCCAGAAGTTAAGCTCGACCAAGTTGACTTGACTTGAAACAGGTCATCTCACCTGAATGTGATGCAAGGGTAAAGAAAAGTAGAAGAATAAAACAAAGACTTGAGAAAGAAAACGTGTGCAGGCTGAGTAATGTGCTGTCACTAGTAGAATTGCAGTAAGCAAAATATAAATTCCAAGAGCAAAAGTGACAATTATTTTGACAGCGACACAAAGATGCTGTAAGACTAGTCCTGGCTCATGCCCATACCGTGATTGTAACCTGCGGACACGAAGACAAACCAATCCACTGACGACCACTGAAGTTTTGAGATTTGATAGCGTCGACCCAAGACCACATAGACAAACTGATTAGATATTTTTTTCAAAGAGCAAACTGATTCTGCATTGCAATTTCGTGTTTTTTTTTATCAAAAGAGGGGGTTCTCTCCGATTTCATTAACGAGAAGCATCCAGCATGTCCCCAGCGTCACCCTACCCAACCTACAAACAACTGCTAAGCAGGTTCAAGAAGTTCAGAGAAGATAACAAGTCTCCACACTGGGGAGAAATTTCGTGTGGCCCTAACATGCTTCATAAGTGAATCTTAATGGGGCAACACAGCATTGAAAACTGGAATTTTTTGGCGTATTTCATCCAATTTAGCATGGAAAATTAGGAATCTACGGCAGAACTCACCGGCAACTACTGCTCACTCACTCGTCTTCCACGCCGTCGAAGTGAGGGTTGGCCTGCCCATCGAATTTTTGCTGGGGCCGCCGCGGAGGAGGCAGCGGACGAGAGCAAATCCAGCGAGCCGCAGGCTGCAGATCCGGACGGAGGAAATCTAGGCGAGGCTCGCGCGGCGTCGGCGGGCAGGCGGCGGCCAGTGGTGGCGTTGCCACCGAGCCGCACGGGCTCTGGAGGTGGCGTGTGGCGGGCGAGGGGACTGCTGGAGGCGTTCGATGCCGGCCGGGGAGAAGGCAGGCGGGCGCGGCGGACGGCGCGGGAGTCGTCGGAGGCTCGGAGCCTCACACCGTCAGGTAACGGGGCCCGAGCACGAGGATCCAACGGCTGAGGGCGCATCTTCAAGTTCACTGTTACGTTGTGTAGCCACCGTTACGTTTCACACAGTGCCAGAGCCAGAAATGAACCGTGTACCCTCAAATCAAAAAGAAAAAAAAATGAACGCGTGTACATAAACAGAGAAGGAAAATGTTTAGGAACGGCGGACCGGCCGAATGTTCAGCCGGTCACACCGCTCGCTCGCCTAGCACAGCTACCATACGCACCGCTCGTCGCGACCTTATCCTTTCCCGTTCGTCATCACTGACCACTCGTTCCCCTCCTTTTTCCTTCACGCACCTGCTGTTGCTCCTTCCATCCCCATCTCCTTCTATCTCCACACATGCTGCTTCCCCGTCCATCTCCACCTCCCCAGCTCCCTCCCTCCATTCCTCCCTCGCTCCCTCCCTTGAGCGCGACCGCCCAAGCCTACTTTGCCACTGCAAGCTACGATAAGGATGGTGGCTTCCTGGAACAACGACCACGGCCACTGCACGGCGAGCTGCAACGGCGACGCCCACGGCCGCCGGTTGTGGGCACTACTGGCGCCAGAAGTTGCAACCTCGTCGTGGGGAGCTGCAATCGGCAACGCCGGGAGCTACAACCTCCTGTTGGCGGAACACCAGGGCTCGCCGGTCACCACGGTCATCATCGATTCTTTGCTACAACCAGTGTCAAAAATTGCTACAACCGGTCATGCTACAACCCACGGGCATGTCCTTTGCATCTCCGGGACCCCCTGCCTCAATTAAATCTCTACATTACCAGTTCAAATCAATGGTTGCAGCTTTTTTACGAGCCGGTTGCATCTTTTCCAATCACCAGTTCCAACATTTTTAATCGCCGGTTCCAGCTTCTGTTCAACTCATTTGCATCTTTTTTGATCACCGGTAGTAGCTTTCCAAATCGCCGGTTGCAGCTTTCCGAATCGCCGGTTGCAGCTTTCAAGAAGCCAATTGCATCTTTTCCAAACACCAGTTCCAGCATTTTTAATCGCCGGTTTTCCAGCTTAGCTTGTTGCATCTTTTTTGATCGCCGGTAGTAGCTTTTCGAAACGCCGGTTGCAACTTTCGTTTCAGCTGGTTGTATCGTTCTAAATTGCCTTTTCCAGCTTTTGAAAATGTTGCCGGTTGCAACTCGCCGGCCATCGTATTTCTTGCTACACCGGTGACCTGGCGGTGCTAGAAGAGCATCCCACGAGGGTACCTTTTTTTCTGCAACCGCTCAGCGCAAAGTTACAACCAGCACAAGCGACGGTGGAGCCGGTTCATGGTGACGGGGCTCCGGCGTTGCCTGTTTGCCGTTGGTGAAGCGAGCCATGAGCAGCATCAGGAGGGGGTCGGGGTGGGGGGAGGGAGCGGCGAGCTCGCCGGGAGCGCACACACAGGGGCAGGGAGGAGGAAGATTGGCTGCGGGGTGGGGGCCGATTTTTCTGGAAGCTTTGACCAGAGGAAGAAGAACGAGTTGGGGTTGAGTGCCAGATCGGACGGTCCCTGCTCGCTGCATCGGGCGGCTGGCGTTCGACCGGCCCAACAGTTGGGTCGGTGCGCCAGCGCAGATAACCGCCCAACAGAGAAGCTACCGTGAAAATATCTCTTTCTAGCTTGATCAATTTATGTAAGAACGAAGCTAGTGACATTAAACTACTTCCTTTTCATTAGATTATATATGAGAGGTTTTCATGCTACGCCGAAGACTATGTAAATCGATCACATTAGATTATATTGCTATATAAATTCTCATAAGAAAATATTGCTACAAAGGTGAGCCACATAATAAAATTCTCATACATGATCCTTTTTAAGGACGTTCTGACACTTTTTTAGTTGAATCAATTGATTTCTCTCTCTTTATTTGTACCGCTGAAATGCATAGGTCAGAGCCCTTGACGTAATGGTGTGGCCAGGCCCAGGCAGGCCAGTCGGTGACCCAGGGTATGCCGTCGAATCTCTTTGCGGACTGTAACACCACACCCATCGTTTGATATTAGATTGTAGCATGTTTAGAGCATCTCTAGCGTAAAATCCCGACCCGCATAAGTCTTTTGCAGTTCGCGAAAAAGGGTATATGCAGGCCGACACTGGCGTGGACAGACTCAAACCCCCATATAATCAACCCGTAAAAAAAAGTATTCTCCGAATATACTGAATATATGCAGGTCGCCCTCTTCCTCGCGTCAATCCAGCGGACAGGTGGACGAGGGAAAACGCGAGGCGAACACGACGCGAGCGAAGACCAGGGCGGCCGGGGCGAGCGCGGCACGGGCGGAGGCCAGGGCGGCCGAGGTGAGCACGGCGCGCGCAGAGGCCAGGGCTGCCGGGCCGGCGCAAGCGGCGACCGGATCGAAGGAGCTAGCTAGTTAGCTCTTCGAATCCATAGAGTTGCTAGCTAGCTAGCTCCGTTCGAGAGCCGCGGAGCCACGGGCGAGCACGGCGGCCGGGACGGAGGCCCGGCCGGCTATCGGACGGTCGGCGGGCGAGCGCGGTGGGCGGGGCAGACGACCGCGATGGCCGGGAGGCGGCCGGGCGAGCTTCATGGCGTTGGCGAGAGTAAAGATTCCTCAACCGCCAACGTTGACCGGTATGCAGGGCCCTGGGAAAGTTGCCCTCAAAACTGCATATATATGAAGGTTTCGCGTTTGCACGGGGCCCCTTAAAATTTTTTAAGGGTCGGACGATTTTTAGGGGTCTGTTCAGGCTCGTTTTTTCGACTGAAACTGCAAAAAAAGATTATTTTGCAGGTTTGACCACTTATACCGATCTGCTAGAGATGCTCTTAGAAGCCCCTGGCTTGTGCGAAGCCTGGCCTAATCCTGGTTGCGCCACTGTCGTGACTGTTGTAGCCATCCTCAAGCTTATGCAACCGAGACGGTGCTAATGCGTGAGAAAAAAAGGCATACATCATAACAGTTACATGTTTCGTGAATGGTGTGTCTAGATCTCAGTCGACTAAGATTTAATCAAGTCTCAAGCACGTGATATAATGTATAATAAAAAAAAGAAAAACTAAAAAGGGATGTTTTGTACAAATATCCATGCAAGATCTAGGGCATATAACATCGACTGAGACACCGAGACTTAGCAAATTTGTTTTGTGAAAGATTATCTTTTTTCTATCCTAATAAACTCTTTCTCATAGTCGAACCATGTAATCGTGTGCCTCATGATAAACTGTGCAATCGATATGTATCTAAAAGTATATATTACCTATCTATGTAGAAAGTTGAAGGACTGCATCTTCGTGGAGAAGATAAAAGATGGCCACAACTTATACTCTTGAGCTCATCTATATTTCTCTTGTGCCCGTAGCAATGCAAGGGCATTCTATTATTATTTAATAAAGGCTGCATGCATCGCCCAGATGCAGAGGCCGGGGGTCTTCCGGCTCTAAAAAAAAGAGTCACTCCTCCCTCTTGACGACATGTGTTTGTTTAACCATGAATCTAATTTGTCTATTTATTTCTAAGCTTACAAACTGTTCGCTGCGAATTTTCTTGGCTCCTGCATTTTCTTGCATCTCCCTTTATACATATTCTTCCTCTTTCATGCCAACTGTTGTAAATAATTAACTCATACATGCATTGAATATGTCTTTTTTCCCTTGCTATTCTGAAATTGTGAGCAATCACAGACATTTTTGGGATCAAATGATAAATACATCATACATAACTACAAGGTATTAGAAAATTATTGGCTCTTTCCTTTTCCATTTTCTTCTTCTTTGTAGCAATATCACCCACGTCATCATCCTAACTTGACAAAACAATATTGTAGTATTGAGCATATATGCCCCAAAGTGCTCTAGAAATGCTTTGGCAAAATTTTCCATACATATTCTT